CCCCCCCACCATGGTTATGATCACTATTGCCACTGAGCTGGGGGAAAGGGGGCGTGGTCTGGCCGCCATCTTGCCCACCTCGGCGATCTTCTGTTTGAGTTGCTGCAGCTGCTCCCGCTGTTTCTCCCTTTTCTTCATGAGCTGCATGGCCCGGCCGGCCTCGCTCGCCGCCCCTTTGTACTGCGCCATGTCTGAAGTTCCGTCACCGAAAGGGAAAGGTTAACGGGACGGGGGAGGGGGGGAAAAAGCGAAATAAAAACCGGCCCCGGTCCGCGAAACGTCCGAAGCGAAACTTCCTCCGAGCGTCGAGCGGTCCGCGCAGCCGCAGTACCACTTCACCGCCGCCGTCTGTGTACGGCAAGACGCAGGCGCACCATTCGGCGTCTTGTACGGCAAGAGCGATTGTACGGCACGGCTCATGCACGCCGCGGCGGGCCCCGCCCCGCCCAACTGCGCAGGCGCACATGCGTTCGCCGGCCGCCGTAGCCGTTCCGTACGTACGGCAATGCGCAGGCCCTCGGTCGACAGCCGTACGGCAGAACGCAGGCGATGAGCTCGCTTCCCCGACCGCGCATGCGTGGTCACGTCCGTCCACCCCGCTGCGCCCCCCAACCCCAGCCAGTGCGCGCAGGCGCATCTCCTCTCGCGAAGGCTCTCCAGTGCAGCACTGAGGGAGATCACCACGGCCTCAGGATCCCAGTCTCAAATTAAATCAAGACCTTACTTGTCCCCCACTGTCTCCCCCCACCTCCTGTTGGAGTGAGGTGGGGAAGCGGGCACCTGGCAACCCCGAGACGGTTTGCGGGATCTTGCTGTGCGGCCGACTCTCCAGCGAGGGAGGGAGTGAGAGAGTCAATCCAATCTTCATGCCTGACTGCCCCCTTTGACGTTCAAGACCGATGGTGCTCAACTCCGCATAGTCCCCTTCCCAATTAAGACCGCACAGGATGAGAAGGAGACCAGTTGGCCCATGGAGTCCGCTCCTCCATTTGTTCATGGCTGCTATGTCTCTCAACCCCGTTTACCCACCTTCTTCCCTCAACCATACCCTCACTCATCATCTATCTCTTAAAAATCTGTCCTTCTCAGCATCGCACACACTTCATGTGACCTGGACAGCTCTCTGTAGTAAAGAATTCTACAGTTAAAGAAATTCCTCAGAAATAGTAGGAACTGTCGATGTTGGAGTCTGAGATAACAAGGTGTAGAGCTGGATGAACGCAGCAGGCCAGGCAGCATCAGAGGAGAAGGAAAGCTGACGTTTCGGGTGGAGACCCTTCATCAGAAATGGGGGAGGGGACGGGGGGCTCTGAAATAAATAGAGGGGGGGAGGCGGTGAAAGAAGGTGGATAGTGGAGCAGATAGGTGGGTCAAGGAGGCGGGGATGAAGCTAATAGGGGTGTGTGTTGGTAGGATGTGGGGGTGTGTGAGGTGTGAGGAGTGAGGAGTGGATACGTGGGAGAGAAGACGGACAGGTCAAGGAGGTGGGGACCAGAGGTGGGGGGCTGGTCTTGGGATGAGGTCGAGGGTGGGGAGATTTTGAAGCTCGTAAAGTCCGCATTGAGACCATTGGGTTGCAGGCTTCCGAGATGGAATATGAGGTGCTGCTCCTCCAGTTCGCGGGTGTTGTCATAGTGACACTGGAGGAGGCCCAGGGTGGACATGTCGTCCAGCGAGTGGGAGGGGGAGTTGAAGTGGTTCGCGACTGGGAGGTGCAGACGTTGGTCACGAACCGAGCGTAGGTGTTCCACAAAGCAGTCTCCGAGCCTCTGCTTGGTCTCCCCGATGTAGAGGAGGCCACATCGGGAACAGCGGATGCAATGGACCACATTGGCGGATGTGCAGGTGAACATCTGTTTAATGTGGAAATTCCTCCTCATCTCTGTCCTAACTGGTCAACCTTACACACTGAGATGATGCCCTCTTCTCCTAGACTCTTCCCACAGGGGAAAACAACCTCTCTCTCTGTCTCTCTCATCTATCTTATATAGTCCTTCTAAGCATCTACCATGTTTCAGAAAGTTCAATGGCGTTACCATCACTGAACCACTATCAACATCCTGGGGGTTCCCATTGAGCAGAAACTGAACTGGGACCCAGCCCCATATCAATACAGCGGTTACCAGGAGCAGATCAGAGGCTGGGAATCCTGCAGCAAGTAACTCCCGTCCTGACACCACCCCCTCCCGCCACAAAGCCTGTCCCACCATTGACAAGTCAGGAAGGTGAGGGAATACTCCCCACTTGCCCTGGAAGGGGGCAGCTCTGACAATGCTTGAGAAGCTCGAAACTGTCCAGGTACAGAGCAGCGCGCCCCCCCCCCCCCCCCCCCCCCCCCCCCCCATGATTGACACGCTAACCCCCACCTTCAGCCCTCCCTCCCTCCTCCAATGACAGACTGAATTAGGATTAGGGTCTGGATTAGCCTGTTTCCCACTAAGAGGCAGCGCCTGTGAGAAAGAAGTCGCCATCTTAAAATCTGAGGCAGGCCATTGAGGGAACAGGCCACACACAATGTGTGTCAGAATTATCAGAAATTCTACCTGGGAGGGCCTGAATATCAATACAAGGACTCTTGAGAGGCACATTCTTGAAGCCTACTCTGTCCTTTAATACAGCCGTGGAGCCTCAACTCCATCGTTCTGCTCCCCCGCTCCCATTGCAAATTAAAAACCTCTCCGTCTCCTCAGGTTTGCGAGTGCCACAGATTCGTAACCCCCTGAGAAAGAGAGAGGGAGAGAAAAAGAGAGAGAGAGAGACGGAGAGAGAGGGTATTCCTCCTCCTCCTCTCTGTTTTAACTGACCCCCCCCTCCGCCCCGCAACCAGCTATCCCCCAATCCCTAATGAAATATCGACATCAACTTTGGGCCCCGTATCTGAGGAAGGATGTGCCGGCCTCGGTTTCCAGACGAAATCCGCGAGACCGATCCTGAGGGAGAAATGTTTGTCACGTGAGGAGCAGTTGAGGACTCTGGGTCTGTAACCAGAGTTTCAGAAGGAGGAGGGAGGTGGTGGGGTGGGGATCTGATTGGCATTTAGAGAATACCGAGAGAGGCCTGGATAGGGAGTGGACGTGGGCACAGGTGCAACAGCCTCGGAGTGACCCTCTGGATGAGGAGGAATTTCTTCAGCCTGAGGGTGGTGCCTCTGGTGGAACTCGGAGGGGCTGTGGGAAGCCAAGGTGTTGAACAGAGAACATAGAACAGTACAGCACAGTACAGTCCCTTCGGCCCACGATGTTGCGCCGACCTATCATCCTACTCTTAAGATCAATCATTTTACTATCCTCCACGTGCCTATCCAAGAGTCGCTTAAAAGTATCTGACTCCACTACCACTGCTGGCAGCGCATTCCACACACGCCCTACCGCTCTGACCTACCCCTGACTTCTCCCCTATACCTTCCTCC